AATCTTTTTACTAATTACTATATTCAAGCAGTAAATCTATTCTCATCTTATGGGTTGTTACGAGTACAAAGAAGAGAGTAGTTAAACATACTTGGATTTAAAATTTAACTTAAATGGCAAGACATGTTTTCAGATCTTTACTAAATCTTCAGCATGTATATTTAGGACTACATCCCCATACAGGGGCGCGTGTCCACCTCAAGTTCAGAGCAACTAGGCCTTAGTCAACTATGCTGGTCCAATGAAAATAGACTAGATTTATTTAAACTTCTTCGTTGTTATGTACCTGTTGCTTTTTTTACCATATGAAGTTCGAATAAATACATGAAAATGTGTTCAACTACTGCGCCAATGACGTTCAATCTTTTGATGCTATAATCCCATTTATCAACTCTTTTTTTCACTTTGCATACAACGTTGTCTGATTATATTTCATCGCTTCATTTTTCAGATATAAATATTTACCAGGTAGTTCCCTTATCCTGCAGGTGACTTATGCACACTTAAAAGACACTCAATTGACTAAACTGAAAAATTATTTTGTCACGACTTATCCCTACTTCCGGCGAGTGGAGGACGGGGCGAGTCGCCATTCTGAGCTCATTCCTTTTTCGTGCACGGTGACGATAACACACGCTACAGAAAATAATTCCAAAACGAGGTGCAGTGGATAAAATTACGTTTTACGAACAAAAATATAATAAAATTACGGGAACGCGACATCGAACGACGGCGCCGAATTCGCGTTATATCGGATTACGAAGGTAAGCATATCTATCTACTTTAATGACGTTGTTTAACTTCCTCGTTAACAACATGTGGTCGAAGGCTAGTTTTATGTTCATCAGAAAAGGTCGTGAACCTTATTCGTTGAACAACAAATACCCATCAGGACAGGCCGCGAGCCTCGTTCGTTGGAATCAAATACTTCTTCAGGACAGACCGTGAGTCTGATCCGTTGAAGTAATTTACTCGCCTAGCAATAATCGTTTTGCTATAGATGCGCAAAGCATCATGCCACTAACCAAAGAGCCCGGGTTCATAAACGAACCTTAACTTGTCCTGTACAAGGATCCGGATTCTTTTCCGGAAACTTATGTGGATTCAGCCGAACCACAATTACATGCCGAAATTTTGGCAGCTCTTGGCGAGTTCACTAGCGATACCACCGGAGTTTGGAGACAAAATTCCACGAAAGCTTGGCTAAATCGTGGCTGCCGGCCCCCGCTCGACGTTAAGGGCCTACCTAAAGAGGACATTTTTATTAAAATATTACCTAGCTTTATTAATGGTACCTGATAAATACAGGTTACTACAGGCCATAAAACTAAACGCTGAAATATCAGCAGCCGTATCGGATCCCGTAAAACAGGGACAAGATCCTAGCTGCTCATCAGCAGCAGTTGGGATCTAGCATTGCAGCCATCAACAGGGCGTTAAACATTCTTTTAAGCGGCGACGACAAGGTTTCTATTAAATCACTCAGCAACGCTTGCCAGTATGCGGCAATCATGCAGCAACGCTTGCCAGTATGCGGCGGCGGCCTTGATTTTCATACGATAAATACAAATAGTCGCATTAAGCTGGTAACACCGAAACTAGATAAAAACTTTACCCGCGTCATTCAGACTCGGTGCGAGATGAAACCTTGTTCGGAAGCAAACTTCTAACAAGATCAAAGCTGCCAAAGCTATCGAACGAAAAGGTCTGCAGATTAAAAACAATACCCTAAGATCTCACGGCCATCAAACTTCAAGCCACCGCTCTTTAAATCCGGGAATCTGGTCCGTGATCCGTGGCAACCGAGGCGGGAAGAGAACGAAATTGCAAAGCCGCAATTTATACCCGAGCTCGACGCAACAACTGTCAACGTCATAGTCCGCAACAGCAAACAAGCCTCGTGCCCTAGCGCAGCAGTAACTCTGGTACATGCAGGCAGAGTTACACACTTTCTTAATTGCTGGACCAACATCACCTCAAATCCAGTAATCTTAAACTGGATACAAGATGGTATCTCTATTTCCTTTTACAAGGAAGTATTTAAACAAATGTATACCTAGCAATACTTTTTTGAATTTGGAGAAATGTCAACTGCGATTCAGAAATTAGTCGATTTAGGTGCTGTAATGGAATGTCTTCAAAATAGAGACAACTTCTTATCTAAAATATTCCTTGCAACAAACACAAACGGCGGCAAACGCTTCTTATTATATTTGAAATTTCGATAGAAGATCACCGGACAGCGGCGAAGTTAAGTTAAGAATACCTCAATACGGCTACTTGGCCACAATACATCTGATAAGGCCTACTTATTAATGCCAATTCATTGTAAACATAGAAAATATTTAAGATTTTTCTTTAAGAAAAATTGACAAAACACAAACTGTGAAGTCACGTCAATGCCCTACGGGTTCTCCGTGGCGCCTACGGTGTTTACTAAGATAAGATGAGAGAAGTCGTGAGCTTTTTGAGAAGCGCAGGCTTCAATTCCGTAATTATTTAGACGGTATTCTTTGTATCGGCAACACCTATGAGGATTGCAAATCCAATTTAA